ACCTAACATACTGCAAGAATGAAGAACCTTCTAAGTCACCAGCAAGCCAAAAGAAAATTTCTGACAGCAAATGGACTTAAAAACACAAAACTATGTAGCCATTGCTAGCAGTTTCATGTTATATTCATCTTTTGTTTTAAACTTGAGATATAGTCCATACGCCACTGAAGTTAATGGCACAAATCCTACAGCTTTTGCAGTTCCCAGATCGCACCAGTCCATTATTCTGTCACTTATAAAGAGATTTTTTTGTCATCAAATAGTATTCTTTAATAAAAATATATTATTTTGGGGACAAGGTTTGCACATACAAACATATATTTGTGCATAGGTGGAATGTGTTCTTTGTTTAGCATAGGTATTTGTCCAGTTGCACATTTCATGTACAATATGACAAATGCCACTGTGGCACCTCGAAAACTAATTAATTTGCTTTTGCATAAGCCTTCATGAGCCAGGGCCTACTTCATCTGTTGCATGCGTCTAGAGGGTGAACTGCAGTTCATGAAATCCTATACCACAATAAATTGTTAGTCTTGAGTTGCCACATGACTTGGTTATTTTTACTTCAGGAGTCTTACATATGGGGGGGTGTTTGAGAAAGACTGAGAAACTGGGGTCCTGACCCAGTGACTATACTGAGTTAAACAGACCAATTATCTGACTGATACCCTCATCTGTGAGCTTCAGAGATATACTGTGATGAAGTCCAACAAAACTGGTATTTTGGTTTCCCCCCATGCACCATTGTAGCATGTAGCATTCCTATTAAACTGCCTCCAAACACACTGACACTCAATTACACTGTAGCTTCATGCAGTGAGCACTAGAATGAGCAAAACAATTATAAAAGGCATTGAAGTACAGTGTGTGCATTTTTAACGGTTAGCACGGGACTCTATTGGAAACAACACTTACCATGCCATCCTAAGTAAAATTACACCCTTCCAAGTCAGTAGATGAAGGGTATAACTCTGCATAGGATAGCACTGCTGGAAGCTAAGACCCCCCCAAGGTAACCGTAATATGCACTTATGCAAATTAAACCCTGATTTAAACCCCATTTGCATCATAATGAAATAAGAAAGGAGAAGGCAGGGTAGGGCAGGAGTCACCAGAATGGTGCAGAGTGATGGAACTAATTCAACCGTGACAAATAAGACTTTGCATCCATTTCTTCATTTACAGATATTTCTATGTGTTCTTATCTCTTGCAAATGCTTATTTAGAAACCAATCAGATTGATGCTTTCTTCCCTGGGTGCATTTCTCTCTTCACATTCTATTTATGATATAACAATCTATGCTGTCTGAATCTTACTTTGTTGTAAGAACATCTAGAAATTATCCTAAACAACGAATTACAGAGTGACTGCCATGTTAGTGTTTTGCAGCAAAGCAACAAAGGAATTAAGGCAACGTGCCTTTATCATCACTAACACCCAGGGGGTCAAATATTTGCATGCTTAGGTACTATACAGGATTTTGTGTACTAGAGTTGACCTGGAATCTGAAGCAGCGACAGATAACTACCTCTTTGAGAGGCTGAGGGAAGGTGCTCTGAGTTAGTGATTGAATAGATACCAAGAGCTCACTGATGTGGTCTTTACATGATTTTATCAGTCAGGACAGGCAATGATCCAGGGCACAAGTAGCAGTCTTAACAGATCTCAGGATCCTGTCAGCATCCATCATGGAACTTGGGTCACAATGGTCCATAAATAGACCAGATGATGTATTAGACACTTCCTCTGATGGACCTACGTTACAGCTGGCATACGGATCAGATAGTATTCATGATATTGTATCAGCAAAGAACTTTGCAAAAGTATCCCAACTAATTTTCTGTTCCTGAGACAATAAAGGCTTTGATTTAGGAGTAAGCAGATCCTGACATTGAGCTGGTTGTGATGCAATGGTAGCAGAAATAAAGCTCCAAAGCCACCGCTAATAGGATGTATGTGTTGGGGTGGGGGCAGGGATCGGGCACTGGAACCTATATTTACTCCCACCCAGAAAGAACATGAGCTCCACCTTCAACCATACAAGAATTATGACAGGGAAATATTAAATACCATTTTACCTAGTGAGTGTTGCCTTCAGTTCCAGGCCCTTATTTTTTTCTTCAGTCAATGAATATAACAAAGTCAATAATAATGTATTCTCCATATAGTCCTTGAGATGGTAAAAAGTTAATTTGCACATGATTCCAAGATAGGATTTCACAACACAGTAGTGCAGTGCAGAACTAGTGGCTAACAACTAATAAGGATATTAGGGTTGCCAAATGGGGCCGGAGGGCGGGGAATCCCCCGCTTTGGAGGCCCGATTTCCGATGCGACGGAATCGGGCCCCGAGGGATCCCCGCCCCCCAAAGCTGCGTCACCAGAGGTGACGCACGACGTAGGGCATGTTGGGGGCGTGGCCCAGATCGTCGGGGGGGGACCATATGGTTTCCCCCCGACGATCTTGGTCACGCCCCCAACGTGCTACGTCGCGCGTCACTTCTGGTGACGTTCCAGCGGCGTGCGCATTCCCGGCCAGCTCCCGGAGCAAGAAGACGCTCCCCCGCCTGTGAGTTATTTACATTTGGCAACCCTAGAGGATATGCAGTCACTTAATATAGAATCAATGCAGAATCCATTGGCTGATGCATTCATACTTATTTGGGAAATATGGGGTTTAATCTAGCCAAGGAATGCACATGAAGCTTGCTGCCTGACCTTGGGCCAGTTGTATATTCTTATTTTTTTTTGCATGGCACTGATACTGCTGGACTGGCTTGGACCATCGACAGGGCAATATCAGCCTAATGAAATGACTGATACCATCTTCGGAGACCATCTTGTTTGTATGGAGCACTTTATTCTGTTTCTGTTGTGATTTAATAGTTTTAATGTTTTATACTGTTTTTATGTATGGGCTTGTGCCCTCGTGTAAGCCGCCCTGAGCCCGTTCGCGGGGAGGGCGGGGTAAAAATGTTAATAATAAATAAATAAAATTAGCTAACTTACCTCCCAGGGCTGTTATGAGGATAAAAATGGAGGAGAGGGAAGTAAGCCATTTTGGGTCCCCATGGGAGAAAAAGGGTAGGGTACAAATGAAGTGAATACTAATGGATATAGGCTGAATTTGGCCTCTGTACATGCATCTTCCTTGTTCAGTCAAGGAAAATGCCTGTATTGAACTGTCAAAAGGGAAAAGTATGAAAATTTAAGTTCTCATAAAACGTTCATTTAAGAAACTTGCTTCCTTATTCAAAACAAATATAAACACCCTTCTGAAACAAGGTAAGATTTGTTTATAGGGTAGTTGCTTATGTGAAAAGACTTAGGCCTCAGTAATATACTGAATCCAGCTTCAGTGATGTATAATATAATAAAATGCTTTATTAAAAAGCATATTGCTTGCTCAGCATCTGAGGCAAACATAATATCCGTGTTTTGATATATTTCCTGCTATTATAAATGTTTTGAAATTACTGTTTTACTTCGGATCTGGTTTTCCAATCTTTAATCCCACTGCTTCTGGGTAGATTTATAGTCATTCTCAACTGTTTGCTGCTTTTGAAATTATATACATACACACTTTACATTTTTAAACACTTTAAGATCTAAGGGGGGAGAAGTTGACTATATGATGGATGACAAATGCCAACTACAGTATTTCAACGTTCAGCTGAAAACCAGAACAACTGGTTCTTTCTGACAGAACACTGCGTTGCGTATAAAAGCAAGTGAAGACATTTCCATAGCAGCCTTACTGCTGAAGCTTGATATGTCTGCTATATCCTGTATTACTTAAATGAAACTACTCATTTGACCCAGTGGCCTTGAGCAGTATCACACTAATGAAATTAAAAACAACCCTAAGAACCCATCTCCAGACTCCGATTCATTTATTTATGCATATTATTATATCTTGCATGAGGGGGGAAACTTTGCAGCAGCCAAAGCGGCTTTGTGGTCAGTAGCTGCTAGGAGCACTCTCTGTTTCTCTCTAATAGGTATATTTGTCCTCACTTGAAGAAGCGGCAAAAACCATGATTCTCTTATATCTGAGTAAAACACACATTCAAAAAGACAATGTTCCAACATGTCAGTTCGCCTGGCTGACACAAACATGATCTATTTCTTCTTCTTCTTATAGCGACCATCCATTACCTGAGAAGGTATTATGTTTGAACTAACTAACGTAAACCCTCTTCTGTATCGTGGGATAATTAAAATTTTTAAATATTCAGGAAAGGCCCTTGGATATGACAAACATAAATAAAGGTGGGGAGCAAATTCTACATGCTTTATCATAAGAGCTCAAGAGATCCAGTTCATACAAACAACTGAAAATCAACATTCGAGCAGCTTCCATCCCCAGTGACCTCAGATCCTCAATCTGAATTCCCAGAAAGGGGTATCCTATATTATAATCCAAACAGGGTTTTGTTTCAGTGTTTTATGCAGAAGAATGATTCATCAAATCTATATTAAATGCTGAAAGGTATTTGTTCAAATTAAAAGCACAATATAAAACATTCAATTTCTAAAAAATATTTATTATAAATCAAATTATATAATAATGCAGTGGGGGTTTCTCTTAAAAGAACAATGCAGCAAAAAAACTCAGTACAAAAAAGACTCCCCAATGGCAGCAATTGTGCAGTTCTTTTTGAAGTTGGTAATGATAAAGTTGATAATTGATATACTGGGTTCACACATTTTCTGCTTTGACCACCTGCAAAAGCATTGGAACTAGAATGGTTAAATACTGAATGTAAGGTTCCCTCCCTCCATCCTTGAATTGTTAGCATGTAGAAATGACCTGGATAGCACAGGCTAGCCCGATCTCATCAAATCTTGGAAGCAGGGTCGGCCCTGCCTGATATTTGGATGGGAGACCAGAATACCAGGGTCATGATGTGGATGCAGGCAATGGCAAACCATCTCTGAACATCTCTTGCCTTAAACCCTACAGGGTCACCATAAGTCAGCTGTGACTTGATGGCACATTCCACCACCAGAAATTACCTCATATGAGCGGTTTGGGGTAGCTTAAAAGCCACCTCTGCCACCAGCTTCACTCTTCTCCCACCCAGCTCTCCAGGCCTCTAGATAGAACCACACAAGTTTCATAGCCTCTGCCCTGTCCCATTCTCTTGTGAGACTTCTTCAATCTACCCCCAAACTGTGGACTTGTACACCATTATTAGCAATGGCATCTTCTTCTCATCTCTTCTTTTTCATGCTTCTCTGCATTCATCAAGCCCCTTGTAAGTGCAAATGCTACCAGAGCAACATAACAATTTCCTTCATATAGTAACCAAAATAAATACTTTATATCTTTTTTGTGGAATATGTACAATAAGCATGCCTATAAAAATAAGTATATTATATTTACAATACATCATGTACCAGAACTCTAGAATCATGTGTTTACAACAGTTGTCTTAAAATTCATTATCCAGACTCCCGCCCCTTTACGGTTCTGTAGTTTCATCCCTTTTTTTCCCCCCTCCAAGAAAGTGCCATTGAACTGGCCATGATACTAACAACTTTATTATAAAATGTATAGTTATTTGAATGTTCCCTACATCATTGATCTATTGATTTAAGGACAATTAACAGTTATCCCTTGCAGCCTTTTAAACAACAGCAGATGATTGTTCGGAATGGATGTTTCCTCCTATATTCTAGGGCTCTCCTCACTTCACCTTTTGCTTCTCCAACATAGTCTTTAACATTCTGCACATTGAGCTCAATGACATTAAATGTGTACGCTTGCTCTTCCACCAGCAGTGCTACTTGCAAGAAGAGTTCGTGGACGTCCCTTATTCGACACTCCAACTTCATAAGCTCTTTGTGCCGGGTCTCTATCTCATTCAAGGCTGAACGAGCTCCCTTGATATCAGACAGAAGGTTCTCAGAGAAAACATCCCATCTGCCTTGCTCAATCATGTCCTCTATCTGGTTCCCAGACACATCCTTGCCCATGATCTCTAGCTGTCGCTGAATCCTGGTCTTGCAGTTCTCCCGCTGGTTCATCTCTGTCTCGTTGTATTCAAACATGGCTTCTTGAAAGCTGTACATTAGATCAACATAGTGGTCCTTTGATACACGGGCTATGAGAGAGTCGGAACCATATTTCATTTCCGCATCTTCACTGAAGTCTCTCAAAGCCTGAAGCTTTCTGTGGATCTCTTCTCCACGGGCTTTTATGTCTTTTGCAATTGTGTTGGTATCACGTTTTATGCTGCTGAGGCGGCGCATAGATGTAAGAAAGCGGGCATTTTGTTTGCTCAGGCGCCGAACATCTGCTTTCAGGTGATTATTATTTGTTCGGATTGCTTGAATGTCTTTGTAAAGACTTGCTAAGGCATAATCTGTCTCAAACAGAAGGGTTTCACGAGGTAACTGCAAGTCAGCATCCACAACAGGAGTATGTTGGCTATAAAGCCTTGATAGTTCATGAAGCTCGAAGAGTCGGTCTCTCATTTTGCCTACATGCAGGAAAAAAATAAAAATACAGAAATAATTAAAAACATGAAGTCTTTCTTAACCGGCCTAAATAAGTAAGACAATAGATTTGGTATTTTTTTTACTGGAACTACAGATTATAGTAGCTTTCTGACATATTATTCAGTGGTGTAAATCCCATATCCTGTTTACAGTTCAGAATATGCTCCATTACAGCAACAGGAAGGAAATGCTTAAATCATCATTTATCATTAAAATGTAGATCATTCGGAAAAATGGAAGCAAAAACTGAAGCACTGATTAGTATCTGTACTTAGAGGTTTTCCATCACTGACTTAAATTGAGCGTGAGGTATGAGGGAGGCAGGTCCGTTTATCAATTCAGAAGTGGCATTTCCAGTTTAAACTGAAAGTTTGTTTGTGGGTGGGGAGTCTTAATGGTGTAATAAAGCTACCAAAATTTCTCTCAAAGGATTCCACAGGGCTTGTTAATTATACAAAATTATACTTACAGATGGAGCTCTCTGTCTCCAAGACCAAACTCATGATTCAAACTGGACCAAAAGAGTGCCAGTGTTTAATACCCTGCTTTTCCTCTTAGCCTTTTGGTACACTGTGTAGAATAGATCTACACATTCATTCCTTCACATAATCACCAATATTGACCAAGGCCACAGCAAGTCCTAACCATACCAAAGTATGTAGGCAAAGGTTTGTACTTCGCACTCAGTGGGAAGTACTGGGAAAAGTGCATAAATTAACAACCAACAAGGGATTGTGGCACCTTCTCTATGAGGTAAGGTTTTCTCTAAACAGAACCAAGGGGTGGGGGACATAACAGAGATTTATAAAATAATCCATGGGGCAGAGAAAGTGGACAGTGAGGAACTTCTTTTCCTTCTCCCATAATACTAGAACTTGAGGGCATGCAATGAAGTTGATGTGCAGTAGACTAAGGTTGCACAAAAGAAAATACTTCTTCACTCTAAGGGTAATCAGCTGGCTGAATTAGTTGTCACAGCACACAGTGATGGCCACTCAGTTTTAAAACAGGACTGGATGAAGCTACGATTGATATTATTAATCAATTAATTAATTTTATTTACTCCATTGATACTGCTCCTTTCTTCCCAACGGGGACCCAAGGTGGTTTACATAACTCTCCTCTCCTCCAGTCTAGCTTCACAACAACCCTGTGAGGTGGGTTAGGTGTGTGTGACTAGCCCAAGGTCACCTGGCAAGCTTCCATGGCAAAGTGGGGATTTGAATCTGTTTGTCCCAGATCCTATTCCGCCACTCTAACCACTATACCCCACTGGTTCTATCAGTGGTAATGACAGCTGGGTAGAACCTCACGTTTGGAGGCAGCAACTCTCTGAATACCAGTGCTGTAGGGCAACAACAGGGGAAGGTTTTGGCCATAATGGCCTTCTTATGAGACTTCTAGGGCAATCTTGCTGGCCACCATGTGAAACAGGATATTGCTGGACCATTACTCTGACTCAGCACAGCTAGTCTTATGCAGATATTCCAGGAAAAAGTTACCCTCACACACCCCAAAGAGAGAATTCACTTCTTCCCCGTGTCACCCCTTCCTTCGTATTCCTTGCCCCATATAATCCATGTAAAGACATAAAAGGTCCTGGAAGATATGATCAGCACAAGATGAGGAGAAAGAAAAGGGGATATCCAATTAGTGTGGTGCATAGTTTTGGTTCTTGGAAAAATAAAAACGAGTTTCTCACATGCAAGGAGTAGCATGTTATGGATATTAAAATGTATGCTAGGGAAAGGTCATTACGACCGCTTGAAATTATCACATACCTTGTAGACAGTCCCTGTGCAATACCATGCATAGTGGGCAGGCTAAAGGCAGAGAATAATGTGAGCTTTACACATGCAGGAGAAGCTTTCAAAACAGTCCCTCAGTGTGCCTTCTGCCTTGTTCCCAAATTCATAAGTAAACCAGGAGTCATAAGAACTGAATGAAACAGCTACCATGTGAATGCTGAATCACAGCCACAAGCAGCCTTTGTGGCATACTTGAAAGGCAGATTTAGAAACTGGAATAGGTATGTCGCAATATGATTGCAACCACAGAATACCAGGGATACCTGGTTAATTAATTGTTTCAGGCAGTACTGGCTCTAATCAGATCACACGTGACTGAGGTTTTGAACTAAAGAAATGTAAAAGCCAAGAAAATTAAGTACATAGGCCCCGTTCACACGGGACGGATATCGCGGGAGATGGGAGTACCAGACCACCTTACATGTCTCTTGAGAAACCTGTATAAGGGTCAAGAAGCGACAGTTAGAACCGAGATCTGAGTAAAGAGTGGAAATGGCCAGTCAACAGAACATGCAAAACTTTTGTTTTCCATCCCCTCTCTGCCGTAACTGTAACTGTATCTCTGCTGCCTGCAAATATCTGTGGGTCCTAACATTTTTGTGAGATGGAAAGTATTAGTTTTCACAGATAAGTCAGTGCAATGTATTATGCTTTGAGATTATTTTTCTTCTCACAATTGTGAAGAACCCCTGAAAGACTTAAAGGCGGTCTCTCATTACAAAAGTATCCACTAAAATTCCTGCTAGTTAGTGGAATCAAGCCTGGCAAATATTTATATCCAAAGCAGCATTAAGTCAAAGTGACATGCATTGATTTATTTATAGCAGTTTAGAGTTAGTGTCCTGTATCCTACCTCCAGCCTAATGGGGCCTTCCTCAAACATCAACAGCTCTTCTGTCAGAAAAACGGCCACTTAACATGGAGGAGGGCTTCAACCTTTTCATAGTTGGCCTAAAATACAATAACCTAAACTTTGCTGGAAGGTGAAACACATCGAATACCTATTTGAAGAGCCCTTCGCAAGTAAGGAAAATTAAAGGAAGCAGTGGCGAGCTATTTTGTAAACATGTTGTCCTTTACAACACTGAAGATCTGATGCACAACTTAATAGACCTTCTAACACTTACCATGAAATGTTTAAAAAGTGGTATAAATAGCTGTATCTGACAGAGCTACAGGGATATGTTTGTTAAAGTTCATGCCTAAATTAGAGAAACGTCTAACTTAGAAAAATTATAAAAATTCAAAAGTATTTCCCAAAACACTAGGAGAGGAGTTTTATTAATTACTGGTAAATTAATTCTTCTCTTCAAACATGGTGCCATTAACACTTGTTCCTGGAATTATAATGGCTAACTGTATAATATTGACATCTAAGTATGCATTTAGACTCATATATTATGTCCATACATGCAATCATCTCTCAAGAAATGAATTCAAGGAAAATGGGTTGCATGTGTTTGTGGTAGAACGTAGCTATACAATGCACTGAATGGCTGGGAGACTGTGACACCACAGAACTGATCTCCCCCAGGGCAATTTTGCTACACTTGAGAAATGAAGCATGTCTGGAGGATTTTAAGTTTGGTCCTTTTTTCTAAACTAACAAATGTGCTTTAAAAAAATTAAGGTAGAAAACCCGCCTAATGTAGAGTAAGAGGGCATCTCACAGCACTACTATGTGTAAACAAACATTTTGCAGGTATGTAGGCCGAAGGAACTACTTGCGATGTCTGTGCTGTAAAGACTTTCTCCTGGGTAACTCTTTGATCTTGACAACAAGCTATATGTGAACACTCCAAGGATCAATTCATATGCTGCAGTAATGACACAGAAGCCACCTGGGGGGGAAAGTAACCTATCTATATGGTGTTGTTCCACAAAGGAAGCTATTTCTTACGGAGCTCAGCAAATTTTAACCGTGACAAGCCTACACACTGACATTTTGTGGTGGGATAGGCGCCTAAGAGTACAGTATAGCAGGGAGGGCTGCATGACTCTATAAAAAAGTAAAAATCTAAACAAGGTAGTCTATATATTGGAAGTTATTCAGTACAAAATACTTTCGTGCCAAATATTCACGTACAACTCAGTCATCATAGTGCCATGGCACTCATTCGGAACACTGAAAGGCTGCAGCAAGTTTACTTCTTATGGGCCAACTTGCCAGTCCCCAGATGGGGATGGGGGATCTCCTGAATTTGCGGGCTCTGGCCTGCCGCCAGCCAGCTGGCTGGGGGGGAACCCCACCCCCAAACAGCCATCCCCATGCATTGTTATTGACATGCTGACATCACTTCCAGATGTGACACCATCACATTGGTAATGTAAGGGGCGACACTCTATGGTTATAGCTGTTTTTATCATAGAGTTTTGCCCAAAAAGTAGAGCATCACCCTGACATCACCAGTGCGATGATGTCACTTCCAGAAGTGATGTCAACGCATCACTGACATTCCCGCCCAACCCCGGAACGCCCCCCAAATCTCCCCATCAGCAGGCAGAAGACATCTAGAAACCCTATAGGGGGAGGTAGCTGTGACTTTCCTGTATTGTACAGAGGGTTGGACTAGATTACCCTTGGGGTCCCTTCCAGATCCATGTTTATATGTTTCTTTATAGATTATTAAGTAAAAAGACTAGAGACTTTGCCCCCTTTTAAAGCTCAGCATTCAGCAAAGAGACCTTCCTGTGGGCACAATGTTCTTTTCCTTTTTCCAGTTTATATGTTTCTTTATAGATTATTAAGTAAAAAGACTAGAGACTTTGCCCCCTTTTAAAGCTCAGCATTCAGCAAAGAGACCTTCCTGTGGGCACAATGTTCTTTTCCTTTTTCCTTTAAAAAGTCAAGGATGTCAGGCATTTATTTAGTACACTTTTATCCCTCCCTCCCTCCCTCCCTCCCTCCAAGGTGCTCAGGCCAGCACACACAGGTCTCCCTTCCCTGTGTTATCCTCACAACAACTTGTGAGGTAGGCTAGGTTAAGAGAGGGTTAATGGCCCAAGATCATCCATTGAACCTCATGGCGATTTGGGGATTTGAACCCAGATCCTAGTCCAACACTATATATAACCTCTACATCACATTGGCTCTCCATAGCATGAAATGTGTTGTGGCTGGGACTGCTGAGTGGGCCAAAACTTTAAATATTCAAAGGGAGACTCAGGATAAA